CCTGTTTATAAACAAGATTTGTTTTCTTTTCACTTATAACATATTTAAACAAGTAAGAACGTTGCAGTCGGGCGATACCGATTGCAGAAGACTCATTCACCGCCCAAACGCTGTCAACCAGAGCATATAGTGCAATTTTCGAGTCCCATTAAAATTGGCATCATTGCATTCAAATTATATACATATATAATTTATATAATTTTGATTTTTATTATATATTTATATCCATGTATTGGATACCGGTTTCAAGCTAGCAGCAGATCAGCGCGATTTTCCTATACATGTGCACACACACATTGTCTATTCTATGCGTACAGACGGAAACGCGCCTTTTCGCATATTCTTAAAAATTCGATTGATTTTTTGACTTTCTACTCGTTACTGTTGTTTTGCGTGGTGCGTGTGCTAGAGGTGACACAAATTACGTTAGAGTAGGGGAGGTTCGAAACCTCTTCGATGTTATTTTTTATACCCTGAACCCATTGATCAAAAACCTTATCGAAAGCTAGTTATTTAATTATATCTCCCACACCTTTAGAGCTAGAGCTTCCAAATTTGTAATCTAAACTTTTTTGTATATTAAATAATTTCGATTTTTTTAGACTCATTCACGAAGTGAAAGAGTATATTGGTTTTGTGCAATGTCCGTGTTGCTGTCCGTCTGTCCGTATGAACGCAATCTATTTCGACGCTATTGAAGCTAGATACTTGAAATTTGTTAACATTTTGTTTAAATTTTCCCGATCCGCCCACTAGGGGCGTGGCAAATCGGAAAATGCATTTTCCTATATACCAGAAATCATGTTTGTTGAAGAGCTAGAAAGCTGAAATTTGGTATGTAGGTCCGCGTCGACCCAAGACTCAAGATCGCGAGCTATGGCGGATATATCTCTGCCCATTGGGGGCGTGGCAAACCGCAAAAGTTTATATCTCCTACAGTTTAAGAGCTAGAAGCTTCAAATTTGAATAGTTTAGTTACTAGTAGTCTCCTCTATCGATTCCCCAAAAATAATATTACGCCTCTTTAGGGGCGTGGCATATCGAAAACTACCCTGTAATTTTCACATTTTTTGAGCGTAAGAATTCAAATTTTGCATTTAGGTTACCGGTTGCTCGTTCAAAGAACTGGCCAAAAATGAGGAGTCTACGGCCACTAGGGGCGTGGCAATCGGCATTTATAGTGCCCATATTGCGGCATTTATGCGTCAGCCATCTATTTATGTATTCATACACATAAATAGGCTTAATAGGCATTGATAGCACGGAAGGAAACATTTTTATAAAATGTTATTTTTTATACCCTGAACCCATTGAAAATGGGAAATCAGGGTATAATGGTTTTGTTAAAAGTATGTAACAGGCAGAAGGAGGCGTGGCAGACCCCACAAAGTATATATATTCTTGATCAGGGCGTCGAGCAAAGTCGATTTAGCCCTGTCCGTCTGTCTGTCCGTCCGTCCGATCCGATCCGTCGATCTCAGAAGAGCTAGAGATTTGAAATCTTTTTTTCTAGGTCCGTGTATATCACGCGTATATCAAGTTTTTCTCTATATATCGATAACTACTCCCGATATTTTATTATCGATTAAAAACCTTATCGAAAGCTAGTTATTTAATTATATCTCCTACACATTTAGAGCTAGAGCTTCCAAATTTTATATGTAGACTTATATGTATTTTATATAATTTCGATTTTTGTTATAATTTACCCCCCACCCCTATATCCACCCTCTCACCATCACCTTTGTAAAAGGAGTATCTCAAGTACTAGTGCGCGTGCTTTGGAATTTACATACATTTTCACCATATGATTACGCCCTGAAAGTTTCATTAAGATTGTACGTCTAGAAATTAAATTATTCAACAAATAAATTCTTATAATGTTGCCCACACTACAGCGCAGCCCAAGCGCAGTCGCTGCTTACTGCGCAGTAACCAGAGCGCGTTCTAATATGTACGTGTGTATGTATGTGTGCCGAAAAGAAGTGCAGAGTGATTAGAATATCAGATTAGAGGGTTCAGGGTATCTCCTAGTCGAGCAGTCTCGACTAGAGTCTTCTTACTTGTTTTTCTTTACATTTGTTAATTAATGAATATATTTGACCAGGACTTTTAATCCAGTTTAGAGTTACCACAGTGGTATTTTAGTGAGTATTCGGGACAATGAATTTGATTGGGTGTTGTCCTTATTCGACTAACCCATCTGTCAGCATTATTTCTTTTGACAGAGATGCCAGATCGCTTTGTAACATATCGCGTTGGATGCTTTAGTCTAAGCAGATTACGCTACGCGAGCGCTCTCAAATCGTTGAAATTGTGAAACTTGTTATTGAATGGGACGGTAAACAAGCCAAATTGCCGCATTTATGCCAATGAAATTCCTAACGAAATTCAAGAGGTACCTCTTTACGACGAAAAAGTTACTGTTTGGTGCGGCGTTAGTGCGAAAACGATTATTGTGCTGTATTAAGATGGTCAAGTTGTTGCCGTTAATCAGGGGCGTCATCGCGATATGAAAACCACTTTCGTGATGCGCATGATTCATCGAAAGCGTATTTGGCAGCTCTGATTTAAAGCTAAAAACTATGGAAAATTCTACAAAATGGACACAATTCTCAAAGCGGCCATTTGAGTGATACCTTATTTAAAAAGATATGTTAAAAATGTACTTGAACCAAATAAAATTATTATTATCGTCAACATGAAAAGAATCGTGTTTATCACTGATTTAAAGGAAAACAAGTAAGAACGTTGCAGTCGGGCGATACCGATTGCAGAAGACTCATTCACAGCCCAAACGCTGTCAACCAGAGTATATGGTGCAATTTTCAAGTCTATTGCGCAACAAAAAACAGGGCATGATCCCATTAAAATTGGAAAATCATCGATAGCTATTGCTATGATCATTGCATCATTGCATTCAAATTACATACATATATAATTTATACAATTTTGATTTTTATTATATACTTATATCCTTATATTGGATACCGACTTCAGGCTAGCAGCAGATCAGCGCGATTTTCCTATACATGTGCACACACTCATCGTCTATTCTTTTCGCACATTCTTAGAATTTCGATTGATTTCTGGACTTTCTAGCCGTTACTGTAGTTTTGTCTGATGACGCTCTCTTATTAAGCTATTCTATTTTAGCAACTGTCTGATCAAGCAAAGCAGTGGCGCGGGTGCTAAAGGCGACGCAAGTAATGTTAGAGTAGGAGGTTCGAACCTCTCCGGTGTTATTATTATTTTTTTTTTTTTTTTTTCATACATATTTCGTTTTTTATAAAATAGATATTTTATTGGGAAGGTGCGAGAGTGAATTAATGGCACTTAATACTTTTCTTTTTCTTCATCGAATAATTTTATAAGTTAAAATTTGTTTCTTCTTAAATAGCCCTCAAATTCATATACGAAAATACATACATATGCATATATGTATATATGTATATATGTCAGTCTGCACGCATAGCACCAAGCATTCCAACCTTATACACGCGCTCATTTGTATGTGTGTACGTATGTACACATAAATGGGTACTCTAGCATATTCTAAGAATCCTGTTTCGATTGATTTGTCTTTGTATTGTTTTTGAATTTCCAGCCGCTACAGTGGCTTTTCTTTGCTATGTGGCGTCATAACAATGATGTAATTTCGCTTTAACTACTGTTGTTCGAAACGACGCGGTGGTGCTGTAGGCAGATGCGCCGGCGATCTTTTTTTTTAAATATTTTGATATGAACATGCTATTCGGCTTGGGTGCGAGTTCAAATACCATGAAAAACTCGTTTTTGTAAATCGCAAATGTTTGTTGTTTTAGCTTTTTTATATGTTTTAATTTTATAAAACTGTTTCCTTCCGTGTTATCAATGTCTTTTAACTCTATTTATGTGTACAAATACATTAATAAATGGTTGACGCACATAAATGCCGCAATATGGGCACTATGCATGTCGATTGCCACGCCCCTAGTGGCCGTAAATTCCTCATTTTTTGCCCGTTCTTAGAACGAGCAACCGGTAAGCTAAATACAAAATTTTAATTCTTACGCTCAAAAAATGTGAAAATTATTTGGGGGCCATCGATAGAGGAGGCTACCAGTAACTCAACTATCCCAATTTGAAGCTTCTAGCTCTCAAACTGTAGGAGATATAAACTTTTGCGGTTTGCCACGCCCCCTATGGGCGGACATATATCTACCATATCTCATTGGACTTGAGGGGTCAACCCGCGTATATATACCAAATTTCAGGTCTCTAGCATCAATAGTGTTCAAAATATAGCCGAATTCAAAAAATCACTAGATCTTCAGGTTCGATTTGCCACGCCCCTAGTAGGCGTAGATATATAATTTTTTCACCCATCTTTATAGAATTAAAACATCAGCTTATGTGCAAAATTTCTAGGTTCTATTATTCTAGGTTTATAACTTTAGGAGATACAGTTTTATCCGATTTGCCACGCCCCCAATGGGCGGAGATATATCCGCCATAGCTCGTAATCTTGGGTGGTCGACGCGGACTTACGTACAATTTCAGCTTTCTAGCTCTTCAACAAACATGATTTCTGGTATATCGGAAAATGCATTTTCCGATTTGCCACGCCCCTAGTGGGCGGATCGGGAAAATTTTAACACTTTATAAATCGGAGATATACACGAGTTTGTTTCCAAATTTCAAGTCTCTAGCTTCAATAGCGCCGAAATAGATTGCGTTCATACGGAAAAACGGACGGACAGCAAGACGGACATTGTACAAAACCAATATACTCATTTTATTTTCGTGAATGAGTCTAAAAAGATGGGTCAGTCGAATATGGAGAACCCTGTAGTTATTGATGGTAGAGACTTAAAATTTAGAATATATTATTATACCTATATTTTGCAATGCTGTAAATTTAGAGATCCGTAATTTGCAGTTTATCTATTGCAGATTGCTGCCCTACTATTTTACTGGAAATGATAATTTTAATACATTTTTGTATATAAAATTTTCAGATGTAGGAAAAATGACTTCTTCGCAAAATCATTTTGGAAGTACTGTGCCGAGTCAATTCATTACAAAAAATAATACTCGCGTCATCGCTCAGAAAGGAGGACTAGCAATACTGCCATGCGTGGTTAAAGTTAACTCCCCGGCTACGGTAAGAAAGCAATATAGAAATATACATATCTAGAAAGTTAAATATAAATAAGTACAATATTATATGTATTTGTTAAATTATAAAGAATCAGGGGAATCACAGAACTTTAAATTAAATTGAAATTTTGTTTTCGTAACCTCTTATAACAGTATTGCAATTTAAACTTTTTGTCGTTAAATTACCGTTGCATTTTTATACCCTGAACCCATTTTCAATCAGGGTATATTGGTTTTGTTGAAATGTATGTAACAGGCAGAAGGAGGCGTGGCAGACCCCATAAAGTATATATATTCTTGATCAGAGCGACGAGCTGATTCGATTTGGCCCTGTCCGTCTGTCTGTCCGTATGTATGAACGCGTCGATTTCAGAAGATATAAGAGCTAGAGACTTCAATTTTTTTAATTTAATTTAAATGTCCGTAATTACAGCGCGCATATCAAGTTTATCATTAAAAATCGATAACTCATCCCGATCTTTTTTTTATCGATAAAAACCTTATCGAAAATCAGTTATGAAAGTATATCTCCTACATCTTTGGAGCTACAGTCTCCAAATTTTGAATGTAGATTTATATGCATTTTATACAATTTCGGTTTTTGTTGAAATTTACCCCCCACCCCGAAATCAACCCCCTCACCCCCACCTTTGTAAAAAGCGTATTTCAAATACTAGAGACTTGTGCTTTGGCAAGTGAACGCATATTATTGTTCTTATTACGATCTAAAAGTTACGATTTCCCATTGAAAATGGGTTCAGGGTATAAAAAAAGAAAAAAAGAATAAAATAAGAAGAGATAAAGTATAGAAAAAGAAAAAGGACGGTAATAAAAGAAGTTGTAAGAAAAGTTAATAAAAAGAATAAGAAATAATAAAAAGAAAAGAGTAAGGGAAGAGCCAAAAATAGAGTATAAGAATAGAATTGAGAGATCACTAACACAACATTAGCAGCAAAAACGTATGCCAATGCTTATGCCTGGGCATTGTGAGTGATTTCCCTAAGATAAGCTGATAGTAAACTTTTTATTTTAGGAGGAGAGAGCTCTAAGGAAAAAACGTGATAATATTTATTAAAATTAACACAAAGAACATGAAACGCACTGTGCAAAGAATAATCCCTAGTGCACACAGGTAAATGAAGCGGACGATAGTGTCTAGTTGCTCGGGACGGAACCAAAAAATTTAGACGACCCAACAAAGAGGACGAATCAATATCACCACTAATCAATTTATGCAGAAAAACAATTCCTAAAATTGTTCTGCGATTTGTTAGCGATGGAAGATCAATTAGCTGGAGCCTACTATGATAAGATGGTAATCGTAAATTACTGTCCCATCTAAGGTCTCTTAAGGCAAAGAGAAGAAACTGTTTTTGGACCGATTCGATACGATCCTGATACAGTTTATGTTGCGGAGACCATACGACAGAGCAATACTCTAGGATAGGACGCACAAGCGAAGTAAATAAGCGCTTGGTAATAAAAGGATCTTTAAATTCCTTAGACCAAAGTTTAATAAAGCCAAGCACACTTTTGGCTTCATTAATGATGTTAGAAATATGAAGATTAAAGTTAAGTTTACAGTCAAAGAACACACCAAGATCTTTGACTGTAAAGATGCGTTCTAAGGAAATATTGCTAATTTTATAATCAACAATTAGAGGAACGGTACGACTGAAGGTCATTGTCATACACTTTGAGCAATTTAGGTCAAGCTGGTTTGCCGCACACCAACGTTGAAATGCATTTAGGTCATCGTGAAGGTGAAGATGTCCATTTGCCCTGGAGTATGGAATGCAAAGTTTTACATCATCAGCATACATAAATATAGTGGAATACGAGATACAACTAGGAAGGTCATTTATAAAAAGGGAAAAGAGCAATGGGCCCAAATGGCTACCCTGAGGTACACCAGACGAAACAAAGATAAGTTTAGACATAGCTGTTCTCAGCAAGACTCTTTGGGTTCTACCCGTTAAATAGGATGAAATCCAAGAGACAAGACTGGGTGAAAATCCTAAACGTTCAAGCTTAAGAATTAGTATGTGATGATGAACTGAGTCAAATGCTTTACTGAAGTCCGTATAAATAACATCGGTTTGCATTTTTTTGGAAATGCTGTCATTAACAAGCGAAGTGAACTTAAGTAAATTAGAGGACGTGGATCGATTTTGAACAAAACCATATTGAGATGGTTAATAATCGATTTGCAAAAGTGCTGCAAGGCCGATGTTATGATTTTCTCAAATAACTTCGGAATAGCAGATAATTTCGCGATGCCTCTATAATTGGAAATATCAGATCTTCCACCTTTTTTATATAAGGGAATGATGAAAGATTCTTTCCAAATTGAAGGGAACACAGAAGTATCCAAGGACAAGTTAAACAATTTTAGTAATTGTGACTGAAGAGAAACACTGCACTCTTTAATCACACAACTAGGAATATTATCAGCACCAGGAGAGAAAGATGATTTCAATGTCCTAATGGCTGCAGCCAGAGAGGATGCAGTAACTTTGGGAGTATTTATAGATCCATATTCAGGAAGAGAATATGGGTATGAGTTGCTGTAGAGATCAGCAGAAGAATAAGTGGATTGAAAAAAATCAGCAAATAGATCAGAGGAATCCTGATCATTGCATGTTTTTTCACCTCCAAGGACAAATGAGGACGGCAAACCAGAAGATTTACGCTTCGAGTTTACAAATGAGAAAAATTGTTTGGGATCTCGAGTAAACTGACGTTTGCAACGTGTAAGATAATTCTCATAACAGCTAGAATTGAAAAGATTGAAGTTTGACTTGGCGATGGAATATTTGGACCAGTCAATACTTGAACCAGACTTTTTGTAATTTTTAAAACATTTAGTTTTAATGTTTCTCAAGTTCGAAAGAGTTTTGGTGAACCAAGGTGGCTTATTTGAAACTGGCGAAATACGGCGGAGAGGGACACAAACATCCAGAATAGAGTTTAAGGTAGAATAAAAAAACGATGCTGCTAAATTAATATCAACCGACTCATATAAAATAGACCAGTCTGTTGAATTAATTAGTTCGTTAAGCAAAACGAAATTGCATTTACGATAACAGCGACTAAGTTTAGAAGGCATTGGAGTAGTAGAGGGAGGATTATCGATAGTTAATAAAACCTCTAAAGTGGGGGTGATATATATCCTCAGGTAAGGAGAAAGGAGTTGATCTCGCGACATTAATGAGCGAATAATGATTAACAAACACAAGATCAAGAGTACGATTAAGATGGTTTGAAATAGAGTTCATCTGAAACATAGACAGGTTAAACAATTCATCAAAAAGATAGTGATCAATTGTCGGAATAAAGTAATTTGCATTACAAGTTGAAGACCAAGAAGTGTTCGGAATATTAAAATCACCCAACACAAGCAGACAATCTCTATCATTTACATGTTCATTAACTTGTTTAATACAATTTATGTGGTGAGCATAAACTTGTACATCAGAAGAGGGAGGGATATAAGAACATGTGATGTACAATGAGCACGATGGGAGAGTTAATTTAACCGCTATAATCTCCACATCATGAAGGGTCGAAAAGGTAAACAATTCAGAGTGGATAATGGACTTAACCGCAATTAACACCCCACCACCTCTGCGCGACGAACGGTCGAGTCTATAAATAGTGAAATTACTTTAAAGAATTTCACTATTATGAATATTACTACTTAGCCATGTTTCAGTGAAAGCGATAATATCATATTGTACACTGAAACTATGCAAGAAAAGACTTTTAAGTTTTGAGTTTAAGCCACGTACATTTTGATAAATCAGGGACAGCTGAGAAGAGGTTTGTAAGTAATTTAGTTTTTTGGTACAACGTTTGATGAAGATTGCACCGAAGGTAAATTTACTGAAATAGGCATCGATCTGTTACGATTTTTTGGGTTTAAATTCATGAACAACTACATGAGGTGGCCAGAAATTAGGGTCACAAAGGGTTTTAAAGTATTCTACAGGCACATTGATTTTGAACGAAGCAATTTCACGCGGTGTCGCAAAACTAAACTTCGATATAAAAACATTAGCCGGAATCTTATTTGAGATAAAAGCCGATACTGCCTCAATGGTAGTGTCAGATGAAAGCCTAGATAAGAAAACTTGCTTTCTAGGAGAGACAACAGATAAGGTAATGCTAGGAGAGGCTGACTTATTGTCACTCTTTGTTTGAGCAACAAGAGAAGTAGCATCCAAATTTGGGACAGGGGCCTGAGATTCAATAGAAGCCTCAATAGGAGAAACAGATATGGGACAAGGTGAAGGAGGATCTAGAGAATTGGGAGCCGATGACAAAACAGAAGCGCAAGGTGAGGGAGGAGCAAGCGAATTAGGTGACGGTACTATTACAGAAGGAGTTACCGACAACAAAGGAGTCTCCAATTACTGTTAGTTACTGGTAACCTCCTCTATCGATGCCTCAAAAACAATTGTTACGCCTTTTTAGGAGCGTGGCATACCCTGTTATTTTCAATTTTTTTAGCGTAAGCATTCAAATTTTGCATTTAGGTTACCGTTAAGTAAACAATTTTATAAAATTTAAAAAATGTAAAAGAATTTATAGATATTTGAAAAATTTAGAAGCAATAAAATTTTTCAGCAGGGTTCGTACCACGACTATCTACGCCCACATGAGTCGTGGCGAATCGGCATTTGTAGCGGCTAGCTAAGAAATTTATATGCGTGCGTTACTTACGTATATAAATAAGCTAAATAGATATTCATAAGACGGAAGGAAACATTTTTATGAAATTTATCGCTTACCACAACGCAGCTGACACCATACCATTAGCTTCATTACCAATAACTACAGTCGACACAAATGGCTTACAATTTTCTTCAATGTAGTATCCATTAACCATAAGTGTCATAAGAATTAGAAAATCCAATCGAATACATTTTGGTCCGTTGATAAGCTCGTCTTAACACCAAATTTATCCCTAATCTTGGCCTCCCGAACTAATGCTTCTATCTG